AGTAATATTTTATTAAAATAAAAAATTGTATGATATTGTGTAATTTTAAATAGCAATATTAAAATATTTTACATAATTTAAAATTATTTACATAAATAAAAATTCATAAAATACGTGTTATAATTAATTTCTGAAAAAATATATTTAGTTTTTCTTGTTTACGAGTATTATAAAAGTATTTGGTAAAAATTTTGGGAATAAATATTTCAGGATTGTAATTATATTTTAAAGTATTTTTTAAATTATTATATTTGAAATATGAAGTACGTACTTGTATTATGGCATTTATTTAAACAGTTAAGCTGCATTTGGTTTTCATATGTTTTTCCGTCAGTTCCACAAATTGGATCGTACAAACCAATAACAATACATCTGCAAAATTTGGTCGTTGATTCTGTGGCTTCAGTTAGTATGAATAGAATATTTACTACAAAGAATTAAATATGCAAATTAATAAAAAAAGGAGATTCACTTGTTGATTTAAACATTTTTAAACAAGGTGATTAGCTAACCGAGAAAAATGATACTTTTGAAAATGAACATTATAAATATATGACTTCCAATTCACATATAAGAATAAAATTCTATATTCACACAATCGTGCTCAATTATTTATAACTATGACATTGCAAAATTTCGTGTTTTAATAAAATGAGTATATGAAAAATATATAATTATAAATTTATTACTTATAATTTAATCTATATTAATTTAATTTTTATTATTAGTAAAATAATAATAAATAAAAAAAGTATATCATGCATGAATTAGACAAAGACGGACAAATAAATATAAAAAGTTTGAAGCATATTACGTCATGTAAAAATATTGAAAACAACGTATGTAACTGTAAGTATATATATATATATATATATGTATATATATATATATAGTAAAGTATTATATAAGTATATATAGTAAGTATATATATATATATATATATATAGTAAAGTAATATAACCATTTATATTCTTTTTTTTTATTTATATGTTCAGAAATTATTTGAATAGGGATATAATAACAAATTAATAATAAAACTCTATAAGATGCTTCTTTTATTCAGAATGCAATGATTCAAGAAATCAAAATTCAATCGTATAAATTGAGATTGTACAATGCAAGTTTATATACAAAAAAAATTGTACAGATTATTGCATCAGATTTCAAGGTCTCATTAATATATAATCCAATTATATATATCTAAAATTTATCTGACAAAAATTATATACTACATATTAATCAAAATTATTAAGAAATAAAATACGTATTAAAGTAAGCATAGTTGTTTGTTTATATTTATTTATCATTTTAAATCAAATACATATATAATCTAATAAAATTATAAAAGTTTCTAAACTTATTTTTCATTTCTATATATTTTATACGTGGCATAAAATTTTATAATACTTTTTGTATTTGGAAATAAAAAAATATCTATTGTATATAATTATTTCCTACTAATCTGCTTTATTAATGAATTGTTACCCACAGAAATATGAAATATTTATTTATATGATATTTATTAAATTACCAATTTAATATAAATACGATATTTTAAAATTTAAAATAAATTTTAGAAGCATTGTAACATCGGGAACTATATGGATTCTATGTAAAATATTTTAGTATCTGAAAGAAATTTTTTTAAGTTAATAATAGAATTTAATAACTAAATTTATTATAATTTTGTATGCAAAATATAAAATATCAATTATATTATTTAAATTTTAATAATCTTCCACTGATTTTTACTTTCTTGCATTATAGATAATTAAATGTATTTATAATTTATCGGCTAGTAATAAAACTGCACTTAAAAATTTATGTTTAATGTTTATTATAGTATAAACTCATATTACACAAATGATTAAAAAAATAGAAAATTTCCTTCCTCTTACAGTAACTATAGTTTTCGAGTAATATTATATAAATATATAATTACAATTTTTATTTATTGAAAAATTGAATTTTTTAAACGAAAAAAATGTAATGAAACAATATGTATAATGTACTTGTACGCCGCATATTTTTAAAAAGTTAATTCGCATTTTTTTTAGGTTTATTCCGTTGCTTCCATAAATTGCGCGATATAAATCTGACAAAGCTTGTCTTAGATTTTTTCAATGGAAAAAACAATATTTATTACAAATACTAAACACAAACTTTAACGAAGAATTTATAAAAAGTGTAAAAATAATTAATTAACAAACAAAAAAAAATACTTTTAAAAATGGTCATTGTATATAAAATAAAATAAAAAGGACATATATATAATTATAAAAATTTTGAAGCATACGTTATATAAAAATATTTGAAAAACATATTCAGCAGTAACGTTCATGTAAATAGTGTAATATATTTTGTTTTATGTATATGAAATATGTATTCAAATATTGTATTCGAACTATATATTCAATTAGTATTATTTGTTATATTTAATATTATATATTTAATTTATACTAGAATACAAACTAATTATATTCGATTATTAATTTATAATATTACTAATAATATAATTACTAATAATACTTCTAATGAGAAAAATATAATTATAAAAATATGTATCATAAAAGAAGTCACTTTATAACTTGAAATTTTTGAAATATTTTTATTAAAAATAGAGAAAAATAATTCTAACACAAAATCTACAAATAAATTGCATTTATTCTGAACTGAATTTATTGGAAACGGGACTATATTAAGTTAATATCGAATGTGCCATTCGCTTCCTGCTATCTTTATCAAAGATAATTTAGTTATAAACTCTGTTCAAAGATTCAAAAACTATTTTGAATGCCACGATAAAGACATTATATGATTTACAAAAGTTCTATAGAATTTTTATAGCGATTATATTTTAAGTGGCTAGTTAATTTGGAATTTATAGGTACTACATAAAATAGAAATTATTTATTTATATCTATTACATGGAAGTAATGACAATACATCATTAAGTGAAAAATTAATTGAAAATATGACAAAAAAATAATCCTCAAAATAATCAATGTTTTCTATGATTTTTTAAAACATTTAAAAAGAATGTTGAAATACTTTCTATAAATATTGTAAATTTAAAAAAAAATATTATTTACACAACCAAAACATAATATACATAACTAATATAAATTAAATTTTCAACGATACATTTTACAACATGTAATTAAAACATTATAATTAATATATAAATATATAAATCGATATAAAATATATAAATTTCAAGTTATTTTTATAGTATAATCACGTATAAAACAGAAGTAAACCAATATGTAAAATGGGCGTAATCAATTTATAAACATAATAATGAAATAATTAGAAAAGAGCAAAGACCGGACATCGCTGTTACTATTAAGAATATCGGCTATAGGCTAGATAGGCTAGACCATCTCGGTAAGTTGTTTTTAAACAAACAATTTAATTTTCCTCGATTTCAACAATTATTTTATCTTTAAAAAAAAGCGAATAGAAAGCGTATTGAGATGTTTATAAAAGTCTGCCCTTTCAGAATAATTTTTTTCGACTCAAGTAGTAAAAAATCCACAATTAGAATTATGTCTTCTCCGAATTCTCTTTTTCCTTGTATTCGTATCTCCTAACACATTGGCCCAAATTTGCAGATATAGATAAGTACAGGCCACGAGTTGGACAGATATCGTATCACATCTTACGTAAATTCATGTATATCCCAAAATACATTAAAATTACATATAATAAGTATAATATAATTATGTATAATAAGTAATAAGTTAAAAACACAATAAGTAATATAAATATAGTAAATAGGAAGAAAACAGAATTAAAACAACAAATATTTCAATATAATCAAATTTATTGTAAAATCATTTGAACTCAACGATATAATAGCAATATAAATTACATGCAAAGTATTCGAGATAATAAAATCCTGAATATTTTCTAACTAAAAATTTTCTATAGTATATATAAAATAAAATGTAAAATCGATAGTTTTTGAGTACTAACAATCACTATTATGTACTATATCTTACGACTAATCGTCTGACGAACTTACGAAATCAACATGGGTTTGCTTACTTTGCAAGCAATTAATTTATAACCCTAAACTTCGCGACGTTTTGAAAGCGACGCAAAATTATTAAACCTATACCATATTCGTTTTTTATAAAAATAATTATAGCTTTCAAATAATATTAATACAATACGAATGATGCTTTTTCCCAAAAGTAAAATACTGAATACAACTGGCTCATTTAATGAAAAATACGAAGCTACATCAATTCAATTATAATTTCGTAAACATTTTCATTTCTATGAATTATTTACAGATTAATAACATGATCATATAAGGCGCTTCTTTTATTCCTAATACAAAGATTCAATCAATCAAAATTGAATCATATAAAATAAGATGAAGAAATATATGCATAAGGCTTTCAATAGTACAAATATAAAAAATATGTTCAAATAAGACGATTATAAAATAAATAAAGTACATATGCATATTATTACACTATTCGATCTCACTATTGATTTAGTTTGATTTTAAATGTATGCCATCTTTGTTGAGATTTTTTTCCTGAATATGACTAAACATCTCAAATTTGTCTTGATTTTATGTCCAGTACTTAATGTCGATAATCCTCAAAAAAAACTCCATAAAATCTATATTCTAAAAAATTTATGACAGTTCAAGAGTTCTAATTAGTATTTAAAATAATTGTTTAATATCGTCTATATGTGTATAATTGTAAGTACATTTTTTATGAAAGACGGAAATTGCTTCAAGTCCCCATAGAGACAGTTAGAAACATCAGAATTCATAAACATATTAATTTTTCTCTTAATTTTACGTCTTCCATTAGTCAATAACATTATTTGATCAAATTCTGTATAAAATTATCGAATTATTAAGAATACTTCTTTATTAACATAGAGGAACAATAATTTTAAATCTTTTGAATATATATTTTTTTATTACTAGTTAAAAATAAATACCGAAAAGTGAACATAAATTGTAAAAAAAAAACATATAATTGTAATTTAATTTAGATATTTATGGCCTTTGATAGTTCCTCGTGCTTCTATCAGACTTATCTAGTATTTTTGCTTACAGAGACTTTTCTATGTAACACGGAATTCGCTTTGTAAATAATACTAGAAAGAAATTAGTTTAATAAATTTCATCAGTTATCCGCACGCGCTTCTCCAATTTCTATACACCTGTATTAACTCTGAATACTATTAATACATGGAGACTATGAATTCACATACTTTATTTTATTTTTAAATATTGACTTTGATACTTCTGTTGATAGTTATAGCACTAATTTGTGCAGCATTATCGCGTGCCTATCTCCGGCAACTTATATCTTATATCACATAGATCTTGTTGCATTCTTATCGTCATATCGTTACTGGTTAAGTAATCTTTAGATTTCCTGCTAGAGTTTGACAATATGACGAACTCTGAGGATAATACCGACGTTGTGACAGTCGATGAATTCATAATTCGAACCGGACTTTTCCCAACTCTCAGTATATTACACAATTACCACGTGGCCTTCTTCTCGACGAGGTCCAAGAAAAATACATTTGTAGGTTGGTTTTCTGTTTTGATCTACAACTGATTCAGAGTCTTCGTCGAAAGCAGGGACAAGATGTCCAACTGACTTGATTTTTATTTGTGGATTCAGAAAGGATCGCACTTACGTGTTCCGCATGTACAAATCCTCCTCAATCCAACTGCGTAACTTTTCTCTTTATGCCGCTCTCAGGAAATAGTGGTCCCGACACCAGAATCTTTTCTTTTAGGTACTGATAGTGCCTTAATCTTGTTACAGCATAATCCTAAACATTAAATATATTCATTATTATTATATAAAAAAATATATATTAATGATGGTTAAAGTACCTATTGTTTATATTTGTTATAAATGTAAATCAATGTATACAATAAATAATTATATGCTCCTGATTTTTGGTCAAAATATTTAAACAATAATATTGTAAACATTGGATATTAATATTTGAAATTTATACAATGTTAAAAACTGTATTTATAGTCATGTTAAAATTGTTATTTGCTGAGAAATTGCTTTAAAGAAAATTATACTAATGTAATTAAATAGTTGTTTATATAATTATTAAATGAATTATGGTTAAAAGTATTATATATATTATTCATTTTTTTTTTTCATATTTTTCAACTAAGTCATACGTGTATTTTAGTTTTCAAAATATTATGAGACTACAATCAAAGAACGAACAAAATACCTTCATATTTTCTAATAATATTAGTCATAATTAATACATTAATTTCATACACATTACTTATCTTGCATACAAATATAATTGAATATAAATGGTACCTATTATGAGTATAACAATTATTTTTAGCTCACCCAATATCCAAATGGAATTTGCGAAAGTTTTGCGTTAACAATACTCCACAATCCCCAGAATAAGTCACTAGCAAGAGAAAATAGCCTGATTTCTAACATCATACGTTCCTCCTCAGCCTGGCTCTCCTTTCCAACAGTCCTCAAATAACATCTGATGAAGTTGAGCTGTTAAGAGAAAAGAGAATTTAGAATTCAGCTCAATAAAAATGTATAGTCTACTACACACCACCGATTGAATTTAAGCTTTTAATTTTTACGGAATTTAACAAGTTCTTTAATATAGTTGTTTTTTAATTAATTTATAATTTATAATAATAAAGCACATAATCGTATTATGGCACACATAAAAATGTACAAATTATAACTACTGATTAAATTAAATCTGAAAAACTTCAAGAGATATTGGAATCACATTTTGCAGAACTTATTTTATTTAAAAAATTTTAATTGTAAATAATCTTATAGTTTTTCAATATTTTTAATTGATATTTTTAATTGATGGAATAATAATATTGTGTAATGATTTAACATTGTAATAATTGATACAATTATAAAGTGATTATTTATCTAATCAATCATATTTTAATTATAATAAATTTCCAATTTTTTCTTAAATATTATAGTTTTATTTCAGCAATGGATAATCCATTTTAGTCAAGGATACTCTAATCAAGTTATGTAATAAATAATTGCATTCATTTTTTTATATTTATTAATTAATCAATTTAATAAAACTTTATACTATTAAAAATGATTTGATAAAAAAAATAATTTGTGTTTCAAAATTAGTATTTTTATGTGCCTTATGTTTTGTTAAAACTATTACTAAAAATAAAAATAAAAAATTTCTTTCTTGGTCAATGTTTATTGATCGTCATAAAAAAATACAAATTCATATCCAGAAAACATCACTAAGATTAATATTAATTGGAAAAAAGTATAGAAAACATCAGCACAGCCTCAATTAATCAGGCAGTGTAAAAGTGTAAAAAGTGTAAACGTTAATTCCCATAACCAGTTTTCAAATACAGAAAAGTAAATATACAAAAGTACCAGTATCCAAATTAAAATATATGTTTATACAATATTTCAAATAAATTTTATTACTCTTTAGAAATAACAAAATTATTGTTTTATTTCATATGCTTATTAAAAGAAAGAAGTTAAGCGATGATTGATGATATGGACGAGCGAATACAATGCAGTTTCAAAATTACGTTAGTTTACAAGTGGAATATATTTTTTTAGATATTTAATTAAAAATGCTACATGCTTCGTGAATTATGAAAGAATAAAGATAAGAAACCGCAAAAATATCGATTAATAAAAATGTCGCTCTTTTCTAATATTACTTTAAAAAAAAAAACTACTTAGAAAAGAAATAAAGAAAAAGGTTAGAAAATAGGTAATAAATAAGTATAGAATTAAATAATACATAAAGTATGAACAAGTAGTAAGACTGAAGAATCAAATAAAAATTTATAAATATTAGTGTTGCTCAGCAATACAAAAAAGCATGAGCAATTTAAAAAGTTCTAAGTTTTCATAGAAAAAGAGTGTTAGATTACTAGTAAGAACCTCACGTTATTTTTACTCTAACGGCGCAATAAGCGCAAGTATTACAACGTCAAGGCTCGTCGACAATGGACAATCGTGCCATTTTATGCTCGATTGGAACGCTGCGCCGTCGCATAAAAGAAAAACGTCCGGCATTCGCTATATCTCTTTTTCAGGGACGCTCACCCGAAGAGCTTTTTGCGTATGTTATTTACTTCGGCTCGATCAAAAATTTCATATAAATTCCTATAAAGTCAGCGTATATTGGCATCATAAACATTATAAGAGTAAAAACTGTTGGAAATAAAGAGCATAGCCAGTGTTTTCGGTGTATCGATACATACCACATTTAATAAAAATTTGACAAAATAATAATTTTTTTATTTTAATAAAATAAAATATATATTCGTAATAATAATTTATTATTAATTATTGGTCATTACAGTTTCTTCAAAATATTTAAATTGCCAATAACGTAATATGAATTCTTTCTTACCAATATTTTATACAAATGTATTATTTATGATAAATAATGGAAATATATTGTCCAACGTATTGCTTGTTTTGTTCTAAATTTTGATCTATATTTTTATATTAATTTTTATATTAATTTGAATAACGATTGACAATATTATAAATGATTGTGTGTACTGCATTGGATAATTTTCTTTATTTATTGTTTCTTTTTTTCTAAAGATAATTTATATTCATTGTTTGTTTTACATTTATCGAATGCATTATAATTTTAAATAGAAATTTTTTTTAAAATAATTATTATTTTCAATATAAAAAACTTAAAGAAGTATTTATAATAAGGATGTTGATTAAATATAAATAAATATTAAACATTATAACATTGAAAAAATGAATTTATTATTATTCTAGCATCAAGATTTGAACAAATAAGAGATAGTTTTTTTTTAATTAAAAAGATTATATTAGTCGCTTATTGAAGTGTATTACTTTTATTGAAATCCCGTTATAAAATAATAATATTTATCTCTATGAAAGTTGAACTTTTTATTCAAATCTCAGATATTAAATACTGTTAAATTTAAGAAATAATTCAGTAAATTACATATATTTAGATATAATAAACTTAGTTTTATAACATACGCACTTAACAGTAAAACATATATTTGTTTAAATTGTTAAAAATTGTAAAATTCTTTAAATATTTTAATTTTAAAATAATTAATATATCAATAGAGTCAATATCTTTTAAATAAGTCGAAACATGACGTATTTTAGTATAAGTAAGACTTCAATTTTTCGAATCTTAAAACAATTATATATGTAACATGATTGAAAGTAGCTAAGTTCTTATTATAATTTTATATTAATAATGGATTTAATTTTCAGCATGAAAGAATATTATTTGTAATTGTGTTAATTATGTATAATTAAAGATATTTCTCATGCATTTGTATAAAATAAAGGTCAGAATCTACAAAATCTTATATACTCTAGCATACATAACTTGTACAGACCCCTGACAGGTAATCTGCGCAAATTATTGCATAGTAATTATAGGAAAATATATATAGTTTTTTAATAGCTGCCCCCTATCACAATTTTGTCACTTAGATTTTCATTATAAAAAATGGCTTGCTTTCGTTTTTTTGTTTTACACGAGGTTACAGAATCGACTATTGAGAGTGCGTGGTTGAGGTACTCTATTGTAATGTTGCAGGCGTGAGGATGCACCAGATTGTTGTTCTCGTTGGCTTGGGTAGACAAAGAGGCAACCCCAACTCTCGAGTGTGGGGCACCTCGAGTCGTCGCCATGCAGGTTCCTGGAAGTCCTGGAATCCATCATCTCATCTCCGAACATCTCATCATTGATCATGTCTCTGTCTGAGCACAATGGCGGCATTCTCTCATATTGTGCCCCCCATATTGTGGGTGACGTTTGCGAAGGCAACGCCATAGCCATGCCTCTCTCTCAGTGCGATTTGCGGTCCTGTGAAACTAATACATACACACGCAACACACGCCAAGGTGTCCTATCGCTGCTCTTGCTTATACTTTTCTTAACTTCACCTACTCTAATCAAATATTTGTAATGTTTCTATTTGCATTAAAATTTTTTTTCTGTTTCGTCGGCTTTTAAGTTTGACAGTAATAGATGGTTTTGATACACAGCATGAAATATACTTATGAGTTCTTGTAGTTTGTATTGAACAAATTGTTTGACAAACTACATGAGGTGCAATTTCAGTGGTTCAATTTCATTTGACAAAATAAAAATGTAATCATAACTAGTAACAAGTATGCAGAAACAAAATGTAGATACTAATTTGCTTTTAATTGCACATCAGAGCGCAAGTTAAAAAAAGACTGATTGTTATTTAAGTATTGATTAAATATTACACCAACTCTCTCTCCAAAATTTGGAATTACTTGCATTTATGATATTTATACTCAAAAGATATCGTAAAATGTAAGAATTGATTCTATTATATTTTAATGGATGACAAAAATTGACAAAACAATTTTCTTTCACAAAACAAATTCTATTTATCTGTTCCTACATCGTATATCGTCAGTTATGTATTAAGCGTTTAAAAATGTAATGATTTATTCATTACTAATAACCGAATACGAAATTTAATAATTTGAAGAATATATATGTTCTTTAAATGATAACTATCTATAAAGAAATAAACCACTGTCAAATTATCATTATTAGGACAAATTAAAATATATATCTTATAGATTGATTACATTATCAATTAATAATCTACATTTAAAATATAATTGAATTATTGTAGTGTGTTTTTTATTGTATATAAGTATAATTATGCATGCACGTATAAAAAGTCAAAGTAATTGATAGATGATAATAATGTTTTTAACAGTGTTTTATTGTCTTAGTCATAATATTTTGCGTACAAAAGGCTAAAATACTGATATCTCTAAAATAAGTAAATTATACCAGTAATGCAATACACGAGGTATCACTTTTAAGAACAAACTTTGTACGTGATATATAAGTTTGGAATAATAAATAAAAATTTAATGTAAAATGACAAAAATTTAATCATATCAAGCATAAAGTATGTTTACTATTTTCCTTCATAATATATGTTTGAAATGCCTCAATGTAACGATAAATATCTTAATTAGCAAAAATTTGAAAAAAGTATACATTCAATTTTTCGGAAGTTCAAGATGAGTGATAAAAATTAAACTGGAATCTCATAAATAATAATAGCTCGAAGCTAAGTATATAAAAAGGAAATGTCGACTCGTAAACAATGGAGATATAAGTTTGAATCGGATCTCTTACCCAAATTCCGTCGATTCTCAACTCCCCCCAGCCCCCAAGGTGCGTCTTACCTTTTGCTCTTTGGTCGGCCCTGAACCCGATCGCTCGGTGAAGAAGGGATAGTTTGCTGCCGTATAATCGTATTGCCACTCAAGGAAATGGTTCGCAACATCGAATCCTTGATAATTATACGAACAGTATTCAAAATCAATCACTACCAGTTCTTGCTTTTGTGAATTTTGACGCAACAGTATATTGCCCTCCTGCATATCATTATGACAGAAGACAACCGGATGCTTATGTTGTTTGACTAGAGATCTACGAATAAAAATTTCATGCGATTTAATTAAAATTTAAACATTTTATGACAGTCAAATTTGAGTTTATAATAAATAAAGGCTTTATAAATAAAGTATTATATATAAGGTTTTATAAATTTTACATGAAATTATCAATGCTTTTATTTAATAATAATATTATTAATACTAAAATGTTAATGCAATTTATATGAATATATGTAAGCTTCTTACTTAAACCAGGAAATTTCATGTTCAAGATCTACGGTTTTGATAAAGGCAACGTTATCAAGATGCCTACTATCGATATCTTCCACATTTTCCAAAATATCATTGGCCGTGCCCAACCACTTATCCATAGTGTCCCACAGCCAGGTAGGTTCTTTACTGATCGGTACCTGCATTTTATGTATTTGTGCCATTTTCTCAGCTATGAGAGAACTTAGGCATGGATCGGCCAATTCTTTCGTAAGGAGAGGACGAGCGGGTATGTACTCCTCGATCCTTCCACCGGGAAATATTCCATGAAGTTTTGGACCCAGTCGCCTTTCTGAAAGAAGGGTGAAGATGACGGATTCGGTGATTAAGCCCTCAAGTGCTCGTTCGCCATGAACTTGACCATAGAGTCGCAGTAGAACCTGCCTTGGCTCGCCACGTATTGGTATTGCTCCTTCCGGTAATTGCACGTTGTACAACCAATTGCTCAGGCCACCGCTAAAATAAAAATTTTCTAGCTTAGGACACAGACTCTCTAACTTAAACTATTTTAAATCTTATATTTAATTAAAAATTATTTTATAAAGTTTAACCATGATAAATCACCTAATTGGACAAATTCTTTTTAATTTACATGCCTTTGAATTGCTTTGTAAAATATTTAATACTGCTCATTACTTAAAAATTAATATATCATATTAATTTAATTAATATATTAATATATTAATATATTATTATATTAATATACAGTTGAATACACCTACTTTAGCATTAAACTGTATTGTAATTTATCAGTTATCATTTAAGCTACATAAATTTTTACTTAAAACAGCATATCTTAATTACGGAAATTACTGAATAATCAGTAATGCATAATAATCTACCTCTATGAAATTATTGTATAAATTTCTTCGTACATAAATAAGACAACGAAAATTTTTAAATATATATTTAAGGATGAAAAGGATTATTTCTCAATTTCAAATGATTATATTCAAATTATACATTTGCAAAAAATATTATGTAATTAAATATTAATTTGTAATATAATATAAACAAGGTAAAAATATATTTTTTAATTTTTTAATAAATTATATTATTTAAAATTTATAAAATTATAATTAAAAATATATATTGGTATATATTTATTTCTATTAAATATTTTAGTATAATTAAGAGTGCTATTTTCTAAGCAAATGATTTGAAATTCGATACACAAAAAAAATATATGTGCCAAGTTAAGTATTTGAAAATATTAAATTCCATATATTTAAATTAAAAACATTGATTTTTCAATCAATGACAAATTTAAAAAAGAAATCATAAAAAACAAATAATACCAATTTAATATTCTACGATTATGAGAATGAAGTCATTATTCATTACTATATTTTACTGTACATTTAACCTATTTCTTTTTGCAATAAAATCTTAACACTGTAGCAATATTAAAAACTACCGTAAATTTATATAAATATAGAAGTATAAATAAATAACAGAAAGCTGTAGTTAATGGTTGATTTGTACTAAATATCTACTTTTATACAATTATATTATTTAATGAAATACAATAGAATTATAAGCTTAATAAATGTAATAACCTTATTCTTTTTAGTACAATATTCTCTGGCGTAACATGTTTCCATACTCCGTGCAAATAATCACGGCAAATTCGTGCCGCTGTAGCTCTCATTTCTGGATTGTGCTCGGACATCTATAAATTAAAATATTTTTCCTTATAAATTATATAATTCAATTAATAAGGTCACTAAATGAATTATTCGTCAAAGTTACTATTTATATATTATTTACATAAATAAATATATATTATTATTAGAAATATATCAATAATGAAATAATAAATATAATGTGATTTAAAAATTAAACTCTTATTTCAATCATGAAATGTGCAAGTTATGTAAAAGAATGAGCCATATTGAGATATAATGAATGCATATTTTAATTATTTGTTTATAAATAAAAATATTATTTTCATAATATATAGAATATAAAAAATTTATAAATTATAAGTAACTTTTCTTATTTTTACAATTACATGATGTTTATAATTGTAATTAAATAAAATTTATCCAAATTTGTATTGATTAATAGAAAAATAATAAATATATCTATATTAAACTATTACAAAATTCAAATAATATTTGTGTAATATTAGTTTTAAATTATAATAATGATTTTATTTTTCTTATATTATCCGATTACATGTGATTTTCTAAATTATTAATATTCAACAATTAAGTATATCGTTTACTAATTCATTCAAAGATATATAAGAATGAATAAATACCAATTTAATTTGACAATTTGATGAAAAAAATTATAATAAATATTTGTCATTTATATAAATTAAATTTTGATTATCATGAATATTCATTCTGTTAGATAGCCAAGATATTGATTTGTATATGCAAAAAGACAAGGTCAAGTGCATTATACGTATTTGGCATTTGATATTATAATATGATGTAAAACATTGTTTCTTAAAATATGATAATAGAATACATTGTTATAATATTGTTATTGACATTATAAAATTGGTTAGGTCTAACATAAGATGTCATATTTAGTAATAAATATACAATATATACAATATCGATTATTATTATTATAAATAAAGGTATATATAAAAGTAAATGAAGGAATTTAATTAAACAAATTTTTATAATTTTTTAAAATCGTTACTTTTATGGCATAATTTTTACATAAATATTGATTGCATTACTTAAAATAACTAAAACTATAATTAAAAAATTAATAAAAATGTTTACAAACATTTGTAAATAATTTAGCTTGATTTATTGAAATATAGAAATATAGGAAATATTAAACGTAAATTATCTATCAAAAATATTTACAAACTTTAAAAATAAAAATAATAAAAACCTTTTAACAATTATATTTAGCAACATATATTTATTATATATGCTTTCAGTAATAAATTAATTCACAATAAAATGAATTACACTCTTCGAATTTAATAAATCAATTTATAAGAATGAAAATTTAATAAATTTTATTCGCTTTTAAGACTAAATTTGCATATATTTTATTGTCTTCAATTTTACTGATACACTTTTATTGTACAGATTTGTTAAATCTCTTAGCACAAATATAAAATCGATATATCAAAGTATGAGTTAAGCCATTAATATTCATTCTTTTCTGATACGTAAAAATTAACATTTCAATTTTGTCCCTAAAAAAATATATAATTGAATTAAAATATTAAGTAATCTTAAATTCAATAATGTCAATAATTACGGATCTCTTATATTTATAGTCATCACTTTTAAAATAATCACATCTATTCACGCGGAATTCGACGAAAACATACGTTATTTGTAACTTTCATCTGGACCAAAAAAAAAGCAATATTCAAAATTACCAATATTTGCACTTTCTAAGTGTTTTTTTCACGCAATTATTCGAATGATATCGACTCTTAACTTCATCTTAAAACACAAGCGTTCACAACTAATGGAAGTCTGCAAGCCTGCACGTACCCCCAAAAATGGGCAAACGGAGTTTGCGCATAGCACAGAAAAAGTGATCAATAAATTTAGTCTTATGTACGTTATATCTTTCATTGAGACGCGCGAAAAATTGTAAAGAAACATCTGAATTTTTAAATTGAAATTATATAAGCATTTATAAAAATTTCAAAATTAATAATATAAAGCAATTTTACAAAGAATTAAAATTGTTCTTAAAAAGCAAATAACTGTTTTACTTAAATGTGAATTCAATAATTTTTTGTCAATTTTATCAAAATTATTTTTGTTATTATTTTTTGAGAAATCTACTTCACTTTCAAATGAAATCATTTAAAAAATAATTTATATTTGAAGTGTCGTATATATATTTTATTATGTAATGATATATTAAAATTATTCTATATAAAAATATAAATATATTTATATTTTATTTGAATTGATATCTGAAAGATTTAATTTCATATTTTATGTTTTACTGAAATTTTCCAATTCTTACATATAAAATTAATACGTTGTATAATTTAAATAAAAATAAAGATTATGAGAAATGTCCACAAGTTCTGAAGTATAATAATATTCATTACAATTACAAGATATGATTATAATTTTAAAATGATATTCATTATGAATATATATATATATTTATTATTTTTATATTAATTACTTTTATTAACAATATTTAGCAAGTTAAAATTAATTTAGATAAATGTTAAATACGTTGTGGATGATAATATTAATAAAAAGAATATAAAAATTTATATATTGTATACAATAGTGTGCTTTAATAAAATAAAAAACTTGGGCTGTTTCCAATGGGAAAATAATACAAGAATCTAATCATCGTTAAATAACTGTTTTAGTTATATTGATTTATCATATATATGTAATTAAAATTTCTAATTTATGCCTCTAGTGCATATAGTACATCATTCAGTATTTATTCCATTTTTATAATATAATATCAATTATATACACAATATTAATTATTAAAAAATTAGAAAAATACTTTCATTAGCAATTACACTTGCCTGAAGTGAGATAGTTTTTATTCATTTTTATTGCGCCATGAGTTTTCACTACAATGAATCTTCGCTTCAATTTATTATAAAATTATTAATATATTAATTCTCATACATAATTAAAATATTTTTTATTCATCATTTTTTTAATTTGCGATAATTTCTTATTATTGACAACAAAAATTATGTACTTGTGAAGATATATATGTATACCGTTCTATGTATTAATCATTTTTATAAAAAAAATTTTTCAACTTATTCATAAGATATCTTTGATACATTTTGTATAATTAATTTGATATTTAAAAGAATTGATAGTTATAGTATTAATTAAATTATAAACAAAATTCTTGTGGTTTTATACAAATATTATATATATATATTTCCTTTTTTTTAATCGTAAACAATTTTTTTTTAGTTGTAAATATGTAAAAAATAAACATTTATTGTGTTAAAAATTTCCTTTATTGCAAAGATTATAAAATTGCAAATATCTTGAAGAATTGTAATTTAAACTTAATACCATTTCATAAATAAACTTTAATAAAATCCTTTATAATATTAATATGAACAATAATAATTTATTATATTGGTATAGTTATGTTTTTTGCAAAATATATTTTATATTGATTTCAATTAGCTTTTATAGAATTTTTCATCGAAGTAAATATTTATACAAAAAATTAGATTTAAAACAAAGAAGCTTCGAAACTAAATTACTGTTCCTACTAATAATAAAAAAATTCTAACTACTAATAACTTTCATTTTGCAGTGTAATACATATCATAGTTGTTCTATCTAATTTTCGATGAATCCGTTTTTTCATTAAGTTATTTATTAATAATTATCATTTAAAGAAATTATTACTTTTAATTATGATGTACAAACGTTTATAAAACTGTCTGTTTTATAATAGCAATATAATATTGTTATAATGACTATTCTACTCATGCTAATGCCACGCATTACTGTCAGTCTTTTTTGTAAGATTACACTAGAAGAGCTGATGATAATATCAAGGAAAATGATCATTAATGAATCTATTTATCAAATTATATAGTACACAACTTAAAAATTATCTTATAGAAACTCAATCACAAATACGATAAAATTATATAATTAATTGTTGATTGTTTATGTTCTTATCTAAAAAAAAAGTACATGAAGATATTTTTATATTCACATTGAAAAGATAATTTACAATTTGTTTACTGTAATCACTTGCTGCTATTAATTCCAAATACTAAAGACTTAATTAAATTTAATCATAAAGTTTATTATTTTATTTAGTAAAGCTTTTTATTTTATAATATAACTATTTTTTTTCAATGGAAGAAAATGTATTTAAAGGCACTTATTCAAATACTTTAATCAATATTTTCTATCTGACACTATTAATCTACATTATTAGTTTTTTTATGTTAAAATTAGCAAATTATCAATAAAATTGTAGCGTTGACAATTGTATTATCTTTCTATTACATTCATAAAATTTTTCTTAAAATGATAAAAAGGCACTTTATTAGAAATAACAAATCGTAAAATATAGCAACGTAATAAAATTAGTCTTTGAAAAATTTAATTATGCAATTCAGGGAGAAAAAATTCTTTTATATACGTAAATTTTTACATTTATATATTACATTAATACTACATTTTGTTAAAAATAGCATAATTTTAAATAATTAATATTACGGATAATTAGACATATATTATGAATAATCCATGAATAATTCATCGAAATACACATTTATTTTAAAATATATTGTAATAAATAATTTTAATAATTACTTTTAATAGATGTTTGTGTTTCTCCTTCAAACAATCCGCCACAACTATTCGTATAATCGCTATGAGTCTCATGAACAATATTTTATTGGTCTTTTATGCTTGAAATGAACACTTGAAATGTACGAGTAAGAAAAAAATAAAAGATTAGCGATTAATTCTTTAGATACCACTAAGAAGTGCAATTTCACGTCCTCAATGGCAGTGTAAACGAACGACCGATGCAGTTGCAAACTGCTTGAAAATCGACCCCTTACCCGGCCTTTTCATAAATATATTCGAATGTCCCGCTAAAAATAGAATTGCGTAATCGTCGCATTGCCTCCTCCGGCCACTCTTCTCATCGCTTTTCAAGAGCTAAGAAAAAATACTCGTTCTTGAGCATATTTAA